TTGAATTGGTGGGCCACAAATGCTTCCTTGCACTCTTTTTTTAATTCTGGTGTTAGTCTGAACTCACTTGGCCTTTTATGAAGCTCACAGTCTAAATGTAGTTGATATAGCTTCGAGTTCATTGTTTTCACCCTATTTGATGAAATGCCAAGCTTGTCCAAAGCTCCTGCGTTCATCTCCGTGAAAGTTCGACGGAACAAGTCGCTATCAAAGCGCTCTAGGAACAAGAACGATTGGGCAAGTGGTACCAAATTTTGAGCTGCTTGCAATTTGGTCTCGTCACTCGTCTTGTCATCATCTAATTCTGACAGCACCATCTGGCTTACTGCTTGCAAGAAATCTCCAACCCATTCTTGATGGCGACTTTCTCGCGGCAGCATGTATGCAATCACTGAAACGACAATGCATGCTTCTAATGAATTAATTACTGGCTTTTCTAATTGAAGCATGTGCATAACTTGCAGAGCCATTGGCCTGTCACAAATATCGTTTAGGTTAAAGAGATTAATGTATACCAAGATTAATGTACGTACTGCAAGATTGAGAGTCGCCCCACACCAAGCTTCTTTAAAGCAGATGCGAAATAGCTTAGTGCACTGCCTTTGTTAAAAGCAGCAATGCCAAAATTCACTAGCTTGTCAGTCTCATCAATTAGCTTCCTGAATCTGAAAACCAAGAAGTATAAGACTCAGTAAGTACAATATTTTTTAATGATTCAAAACCTTTTCGTATCCAAGGCATCTGGCATGGCAGACAACTTTGGGAACGAAGCTTGAGATGATAGTGACAGCAGATCATCTTGAGATGCTTCAGATTTACTGACCTTGACATTAGTACTAATTGTCTGTTAGTAAATGGACAAAGCTCAGTATAAGTTGAGTCGAATAATAGCTTCATTGACATCTCACCAGAAAGTTTGCTTGCGCACTTCGAGTCGATGTAAATCGATCTGTACAATAAATTGCTGTTCTGATGTTAACGTGGTTCAACGCAGTGATCTACGTTCACCACAAAGATCTTAGCTCTTGATTTTTTCAAACTCCAGCCTTTGACCCACACCAAGTTACTCACATTTTCATCTACTATACGTAGTAATTCTTGTAAATCTCCAGCCATGCGCAATTTCCGATTCAATTCAATACTTTCGGTATTGCACAAATAAATGTTATCCAGCCTGCGAATTTGAAGCAAATTCTTGAGCTTTGGTTGTGTCTCTACCATGAGCATCAGTTCTGACCACATCGAGAAGCTTAAAAAAGCGGTAGGATAGCCCGATAGTGACAATAATGGAGACTGATCGTCTGGTAATTGTATCGCTACACAGGAAGCGCTGAATAAAACTTTGTCCGACGTAAAGATTTGAGCCAAAGTGCCAACTTGAAAGTTGCAATTGATACATAACATCTTGTGCTTTTTCCAACTCGATTTTCTATCATCTGGTGATGTAACTGGCAGCAAGTTTTTCAACGGTTCACCTGATGCGCTTGAGATATGAGTCCCATTTTTCCTAAAATGTCAATCGTTAACTCGAATGTTTATTGATATTAGTATCAATAAAGTTGCCGTACCACTTGAAAAAGACCAAGTCTTCTGTATTGCTCAGCATTGCATTGCACTTACCACAAACCAGTCGCGATTTTGCTTTGTCGATGTTATTCGTGTCATCTATCGCAGCTTCGTTCGGTGTGGCATACATGGCGATGAACGAAAAATTGCGTCGAGATGGATGAACATTGATAGGTGAATATGGTAATGACTGGAATGGTGCAATGAGACTGCGACGGCTGAATGCACGAGTACGCTGTAAGAACCGAGCATGAATTAATTGCATTGGTTCGTTGGTTGAGTTTGTAGAAGTAAGTTGATGTTGCACTAAGATGATGTTGCACGTAGAAAAGAACAATTTTACACAAACAATAGTAAAGTCGAAATCATTTCTATCATGGATTTTTTGGACTTAAATAGGAGCCGATTGTTGAGTCCGCGGCTGCTTTCGGCAGGGCGCCACTGCAGGGATCTCATTCACATTTGTCCACAGACAGGATTGGATTGACAACGAAGCCTTGACCACTTATTCGTAAGCATGAGAAGGCGGCTGCCGATGAAGACCGGCTTGATGGAACGCCAAACACGAGACGGCAAGAGAATAAGGCGTAAAGAGGAGCGTAATGATGAGCGAATTAAACGACAAAAAAGGGCGCAAGGAAATTAGATTATGTTGGGAAGAAGAGCATTAGCAAATGATGATGATGATTGCAATGGCCTTCGGCTAAAAAAAGACTAGCTACATAAGATGAGCACCAAAATCTATTCCTTAATAGATGGCTTGCTTCAATGCTCATGTGTGGTATATGCGTTGTTAGAATTTGATTTAAGCCAACAAATCTGATGCAAGATGAAAATAATTACAAATTGACTTCTCTTTCACCTCTCTCTTCGTATATAAATCGGTCTTCGATTATAGGAAAGGCGAACTCACATTCCCCACTCTGTAGCTTTTCGTGCTTACATAGCCTGCTGAGCCCTAAAAACTTCCCCGGCACCAGATGTGGGTGGCAAGTTCTGAGATGATTTGACAAGGAATGTACAGTCTAGTAAATCTACAATCACACGACGTCCAAACACTTCATAGACCCCAAATAACTTGGAATAGATCTGGGAATGGTGCATTGCCCCGGGCGCGTTGATAGCTACTATCAATATGACCCGGTTAGCCGAAATGCAGCGGGGCTGCCGTAGGTCTTTGCTTAGAGGAAGCTTACCATGGTCACCGACTTTACGTTTTATACTAGATCCAGTATGAGTGTAGCGGATCGCAATCCGCTAACTCCAAGAGAAGAGAAGAGAAGAGAAGAGAAGAGAAGAGTAACCAAAACCTTAGTCCAAGCCAGATACATTCTTCTGTTCAAAATTCAAACTGTAATTCTTTTGTTTTAATTGCTGCAGAGCCGCCTATATCTGATGCTATAGGTTTTCCTAATAAAATAGTAAATTCTAATTAGAATGCATAACCACTGGCAGACCCGCCACGTACTGGACCACAGCAAGCGTTGAGGTGTTGAAGTTGGTTCTTCCTCTGTACAGTGGCGTTCAAGCACTTGACTTCTTAACAATCTCTCCACTTCGTCATGGCACTCTGATCAAGTGGT